ATATATTATTTTTTGATTATTTAAGGATTGGATTTGATTAAAGAATTTATAGACTTATGATTGGTGTGTGAGATTACCCTTAGGAGTATTGAATTGAGTATGATTGAAAATAACTAGTGAATTAGCATATGAGATGAGAGAAGCTCAGGGGTTAGAGCCTTTCCTAGTGAACCAAGTGGAAAGGATTAGTAGGAATATGAGTAACATTTTCTAAATAGAAATTGAAGTTGTTTTAAGATGCAAGAATAAATTTGGGTGCTTAGTAATCTTGAATTAAGAAGGAAGATTTTAGAGGAAGGACATAAGAGTACTCTTTATTTAGAAGCTACTAAGATGTATCAGAGTAGCGCAGCGGAAGTGTAGTGACCTAAGGTGAAGAGAAAAGAAATCATATACTCGTGTTTAGTATGCAATTAAACGTCTCATCTTGGAAGTGAGATGGTGAATGGATAGACTTTAATTGTAGATTTGTCTGATACGTCTAAGAGATTGATTTTATTTGTGTTTTAGTGGATAGACTCGCCAAATTTACTTGTCTTACCCTTTGGTGAAATGATAGAGCTGTATATCAGAAAAATAGTGAGTGAGGTTGCATAAAGATTAGAAAGTAAGAAGTGAGGAGTCTACCATTACAAAAATTTTGGGGACGAAATTTCTTGAAGGAGGGGAGAATTGTAACATCCCAAATTTTTTTAAAGGGTATTGTTGTAATTAATGGCATTTTCGTAATTTTAATAGAGGAATAAGGGTATTTTTGTAATTTTATTATTAATGGCATTTTCGCAATTTTATTAAAGATTGAGGGGTAAAATGGGTAACTTGGAACGGGCTGTTCCAAAATTGGAACGGGTTGGAACGGGCTGTTCCAAAATTGGAACGGGCCGTTAAAAGCAACAAAAAGATACTGAAATTTTAAGTTGGGAACGGGCCCAGAACGGGCCGGAGAAAGGGCCGTTCTGCTGAGATTGAGAACGGGCCGTTCTGATTTTAGAACGGGCCATTATGCTTTTTGGGAACGGGCCGTTCCGATTTTAGAACAGGTCGTTCCAGTTCAAAAATTTACGTACATTTGAAGGATTCGGAACGGGTTCAGAATCCAGTACGGCCGTTCCGAGTGCGTCAGATTTCCTATAAATAGGGGCTAAGGGCTGAAGGAAAATCATAACTTGGAGAAGAGGTCCTAGAGAGAGAAAGAAGAGAGAGAAAGGGAGAAAGAGAGAGAGGAGGGGAAGGAAAAGAGGAGAGGAAAGAAGAAGAAGCCAGTAGAGGAGGAAGATAGAGGAAGTTCTGCCCTAGTTCTTGTCCCAATTTAAGAAAAAGAGGAGGAGATTCTGCCCGAGTTCCTATTCATCCAGGTACGGGGGAAAAGGGGATTATTTATATGAAGAGTACATGAGGGAATTGGGTAGAGGAAGAATTCCTTAGGATTATAATTAATTTTATAATTATTTAATTTGGAGAATTATTGGTTCTATTAAAATTATCTGTATTGAGGTTTATAGATATGCCTAAGTGTAGGAATGATGATCTGAGAAGAAGAATGAATTATAAAGGAAATGCGGTGAGCTAGATTTTGGAATAATTAGGGGTTTTGCTATTTATACTAATTATTCTATTGATTATTATATTAATGAAAGTTATTGCTATATTACTTGTTAAGAATGAATTATATTGATGTGAATTGCTTGAGGGGTATGTAAACCCTATTTTGTTGAGCTTATTGTATGAATGTGATTTTGATTGTGATTGTGGTGCCTCACATCGATGACTAGGGACGGCACGACCCCTGGGTATGTGATGCTACAGGGAAGGCGTGACCCTAGCATGGTGTGGGATGAGTAAGACAGTTAACACCACCACTTATGTCGTTTATGGCAGCCCTGACATAGGGTTAATTGCAAGAGATTGTATTGATTGTAATGTGATTGTGTTTCCTCACACCAAATGATTAGGGATGGCATGACCCCTGGGTAAGTGATGCTACAGGGAGGGCATGACCCTGGTCTGGTGTGGGTTGAGTGAGGCAATTAACCTGTATCACTTGTGTCAGATGTGGCGAGGTCTTGGCATAGTGTTAATTGTGAGATTGACATGAATTATAGATGTTGAAATGATTGTTATATTGATGTGAATGAGGAAAGGTAAAAGTGATAATGTCAAAGTCTAAGTGGATTGTGATGGATTGATAATATATGGTACATGCTTGTAAATATTTTATTAAATAAAAGAAATATGATGAGATTTTAATATGGTGTGTTTGGATGTACTTTGCATATAGATATCTTCTTTTCTCACCGTACAAATTTTGGATATTTTAGGTGGAGAAGATCCGGCTACGAGTGGCATCTAGAATGCCAACAGTTAAATTCTGGGAATGCTCTGATAGTGTGACATCGGGGCAGAGGATTTCTAGGATAGAATATTTATATGGATTTGGTATCGTAATGAATGTAATTCTCTTTGAAAATCTGTAAACTCTTAAATTTTACCTTTCAAGTTTTATTTTTCAGTCATTGAAAAAGAACAGTTATAAAGTTTTATGTGACCCTTTTTACCAATTTGATCAAGTTTATTCTTCTAATTTTTATTATATTATTTCGATGTATGTGTTGGGATAGTAAGAGTGTCACATAATTTACTTTATATCAAGTCATAAATCACATTATAACATTAACTATAACATTAAAAAAACTAAAATCATAGATTTTGTAATATTAAAAGATTACAGTTATAAAAAAAATAGAGAATTAAAATTTATGATTGGATATTGTAAGTAACTAAGTATTCTACTCTAAAATCATGTGTTTACAATGATAATATCATAGTTCTAACTTAAGATCCTGCACATTCTACTCTAGCTCTTTAACACTAGGCCAATTATTGTGGTTTTGTAAGTAATCAAGTATAATTTTATCTGAAATATTTATTTCATGGATATTTAGGGGTGTATCGAATTATAGTTTTAAAAAACTTTATTATCATAGAAAAAAGTCTTATAATATTCGATTAAGACTTTATTTTAATATAAAAATTCATGTGATATACAATTAAGATAATTAAAAAAATTTGAGAGTACATCAAAATTAGCTGATATTAAAAAAAATTATGAATGCATTAAAATTTAGTAATGTTCAATTAAAAAATTTTGTTGACATTACAAAAATAGAGATTTTAATGAATTATTTTGAATGATAGATTTTCTAAAACTTTTATTATAATTTATATATAATTCACTTATCTAGTAATGTCATTAAAACTTTTAAGATTTTTTTCATGACTTTTTTTCCTTTCTATTTCTCCTTCTTTTTTCTCCCTCATTAATCTTCTTATCCCCTTTCTTACTTCCTCGTACTCCTCTCTCTCTCTCTCTCTTTTCTCTTGTCTTCTCTATCTCATTTTTTTCTTTCTTGTTCGTCTTTTTCATTTATTTCTACATCTTTTCTCTATTTTTTCTCCTATCTTTGATATTTATTTTTTTAATTATTAAATATGAAAATATTTTTAAATCATTAAATATTAACAATTATTAGTATTTTTAAATTATTAAAATTTAACAAGTGTTTATTTTAAATAAAATTTAATATTAAAATATCACATTTTTAACATAGAAAAATATATTTTGACAATTACACCTATTAATGAATATCATAAATTTGAATTTATTGTTCAAATTTAATAACATTAAAAAAAATATAAATGCATGGAAGGTTATATGTAAATAAATTTTGCTTAAGACATGAAATCATAATTAATTATTTACTAAAAAATTGATTTTATTTTCTTTATTCATATTTCTTATTAATTATATTATTTTTAAAATCAATATTATCATTTGAAATATTATAATCCTTTTGAATTTTATAAATTTTAAGATATAAATATATTTAAATTTATATTACATTTTTTTTACTATAAATCTTAAAAAATTATATTATAATTTTTACTATAAATTTATATTACAAATATATCACAAATTATATTAAAAAAATTATCATAGATATTTTTCAAAAAAAATCTTCAAAATCATTAAATCTTATAAAATTTCTTATAATTTAAGATTTTTTTTTTTATAAAAAAACTCTCGATTCAATCCACTCTTTAGAAATTACTTGTGAGGATGTGACCCGTACATCGCCATCATCATAATTCATCAAAAGAGACATCCAATCAATAAAAATATTCCTAATCATATAATAAACATTTAAAATAATACAATTCATGCAAACAATTACATAATCAAGCAATCACCTCATATAGTGCATTCCTTTAAGATTCCAATAAAAAATCCACAGACAATCCAAAACATGCGATTATAGATTAAAACATGAAGCTAAAGGCATATACATACACATAACAACAATTAGAACATTTGATAAGAAATGTAAATTATGAATTTTATAAAATTGAAAGAATAAAATTATAAAATAAAAATTATAACTAAATATCTTTACAAGTAACTAAGAGGCTATTTAGATATAAATCAAAAATATTTTTTTTAGAGTTTCTTTAATAAAAATTATTAAAGAGTCTTTTCTAGTAAAAAAAAATTAAAAAATTTTCAAAGCTTATATAAGAAGTGTATAAGAACATGCTCTAATATAATTTCGGCTAAATATTTCTTTTAGGTATACTTAATACTCATCATTGAGAATCGTGACCCGTACATCGCCACAAAATCATTCGCATTAAAAATGAAAAAAGAGAAGATTGAAGGATTGATCTTGATTTGCAATACAAGAAACAATTTCTTTCCCTTATAAGTTTCATCATAACCTATCAGTGCCGCAATACTAATACTATATAACAACAACAGCACCCAACAGCAGCAGCAAATCCACATGGCTAGTGGCTATTGGCTCTACGGTTTCGTAACAGTCATTCACACGCTTCACTTCGTTTGGTCAATCAGAACCGTCCATGGCATGATCCCACGGTCCCCATTACAATGCACCGCTTCAGGATGCACCCTCAGCAACAGCTACGGCGCGTGGGGCGACCGCAAGGACTGTTCCGCCCTCAACGTGACCTACCCCACAACCGAAGACCAACTTCGTTCGGCAGTTTCCTACGCTGTCCGTAACAACCTCAAGGCCAAGGTTGTCACCGGATTCTCCCACACAATCCCCAAGCTCGCATGCCCACAGAACGCCACAGTGTTCATCAGCACAGACAAGTACAACTCCACCATCCAAATCGACGCCGTTAATTTGGTTGTGACGGTTGATGCGGGCGTTGGGCTTCGCCAATTGATTGACGCTGTTGAAGCCAAGGGCTTCAGCTTGGTGGCAGCGCCTTATTGGGAGGGTGTCACTGTTGCAGGCCTTATCAGCACTGGGGCGCACGGTAGCTCTTGGTGGGGACGCGGTGGTGCGGTTCATGATTATGTTATTGGAATTACTCTTGTTGTTCCTGCTTCTAAGTCTGAAGGCTATGCCAAAGTTTTGAGGTTGGACGCACAGGATCCGTTGCTTAACGCTGCCAAAGTGTCACTCGGAGTTCTAGGTGCTATATCCAAGGTTAGTATATATAATATATATTATGGTGCTTATTAATTTTTATTTTTAGTTGCTGTGTCAGTATATATGGTGTGATATGTATCACTGTTGAATTTGTTACACTTGATCGAAATCAAACAATTTCCATGTATACACACTCACCCTCTAGCAAGAATTAATATTGAAATGCAGGTAAAGTTATCACTTGAGCATAGGTTCAAAAGAAGCATAACATACAATTTCACAGGAGATGATGGCATCGAAGATGTGTACACAGAGCATGCAAAACAGTATGAATTTGCGGATATAACTTGGTATCCGTCGAGACACACAGCAGTGTACAGATATGATTCCAGGGTTCCTATAAATGCATCGGGTGATGGACTTAATGACTTCATTGGATTTCAACCCAATCCTATCTTGATCTCAGAATCAGTTAGAGCAGCAGGTATTCAATTTATTAAATTATTTGTTTTCTAAACCCAAGTTTCTTAAGCCTATGAACGTTGACATGCAGAAAAACTATTAGAAAGTACAAAAAACCCAAATGGGAAATGCTTAACGGCAGCTACTACTTTGGGATTCAAGAAACTAGCAGGAAACGGGTTGAAGAACAATGGGATGATTTTCAGTGGGTACCCAGTAGTGGGTTTCCAGGGCAAAATGCAAACTTCAGGTTCATGCTTATACTCAACAAGAATCGACACCTCCTGTGCTTGGGATCCAAGAATCAAAGGTTTTTTCTTCTACGAGAGCACCGCAATCTTCCCTGCATCCAAATTTGGAGACTTCGTCCGTGACGTGAGAAAACTTCGCGATCTCAACCCACAAAATTTCTGTGGTGTGGACAACTATAACGGCTTGCTCATTCGTTTCATCAAAGCCTCAAGTGCATACCTAGGACAACCCGAAGACTCTGTGGTCGTTGATTTCAACTACTATCGTGCCAACGACCCATCAGATCCTAGACTCAACCAAGATGTGTGGGAGGAAGTGGAGCAATTAGCGTTCTTCAAGCATGGGGCTAAGCCACATTGGGCCAAGAACAGGAACATAGCATTCTTGGGAGTGCAACAAAAGTATCCCAGGTTTAACATGTTTGTTGCAGCAAAACAAAAAATGGACCCTCAAAATGTGTTCTCTAGTAAATGGTCGGATGACATACTTTATGGCAAGGAATTGGAAAAATTTGATGGGTGTGCTTTGGAGGGACAATGCATTTGTAGTGAAGATAAACATTGTAGCCCCCAAAAGGGGTATCTCTGCAGCCCTGGCCTTGTCTACAAGGAAGCTAGAGTTTGTAGATACTTACCTTCCTCCATCCCATCATCATCCACCGCATGATCATGGTGTTGATAACTTATGATTGTGATTGAATAAATACTGAGAAATTGTAGATGAATATGACTGCAATTACAGTCACAAAACTACCATATATTTTGGCTCAAAATGCCTGATTTAAAATCATATGCTATAATTTCCTTCTCCTCCTTCCCTGTTTCGATTTCTATTTCAGAGTTCAAGCACGGTCTTTTGAGATTCAATTCGCGTGATTGAGATTAAGAGAAAAAATTAAGTTTAGGAAATATTTGTTTCCAAATTTTAGGATCAAATTTAATTTTATTGGGTTCATCATAAAAGAAAATTATATTCTAGGTATCTTAGAAAATATATTTTTCACTACTATTATATTCCAAAATTTCTATATAAAAGTTTAGAAGACAAACCCTAATTCATAATGCAATTTAGAATTTTCTAATAAGTAGTTATTTTTTTTCTTACTTTACTTGATTATTATGAAGGTGTTGAAACTCCTTTAATTAGTTTTTGACAGTTTCTTCTAAGTTCTCACAACCACCTCCATGAAAACAACTCTCCCAAAAAAGAGAAAAAAAAAGTTATTCTTTCGTAAAATTAACTCTAACTTTCATAACTTCTCTTTTCAAATTATTATTTTTCTTGAATGTTAAAATTACCCTTAATGAAGTGAGAAGTTTCAGTATCTTTTTGTTGCTTGGAACGGCCCGTTCCAATTTTGGAACAGCCCGTTCCAAGTTACCCATTTTACCCCTCAATCTTTAATAAAATTGCGAAAATGCCATTAATAATAAAATTACAAAAATACCCTTATTCCTCTATTAAAATTACGAAAATGCCATTAATTACAACAATACCCTTTAAAAAAATTTGGGATGTTACAATTCTCCCCTCCTTCAAGAAATTTCGTCCCCAAAATTTTTGTAATGGTAGACTCCTCACTTCTTACTTTCTAATCTTTATGCAACCTCACTCACTATTTTTCTGATATACAGCTCTATCATTTCACCAAAGGAT